GACTCAAGGCGATTTCTAGCAGTACATTATTTAAATTTGGATGAAAACCTTCTAAAAAATATGCCTCCTTTTCATTCTGACCGGTTGTGATACAACCATTTAATTGTCCGGTATTGGGAACAAAACCTGTTGGAAAACTTACCTTGAAAACCATTACTTTTTGGATGGATTTGGCACTGATCAGTACTCTGAAAACATATTCTCTAATCTTGAAAGAATTTTCCTAAAAATGTATTCAAAACTGTCAATGTTACTTTCATTAACATTTTGAGGGGATTATTGACCTCTTCAAAAACCATCGCTAAATTACCACCGACTGAAGACGCCCTAAGACTACATTGTTTAAGATGTTTTTACCAGCTAAATATTTGGCTAACCTCTTTAAACCCAGATGCAGCTTCCTAATGTTGAAGAGTATGGATGGAAAGTAGATCAAGATGGAAGTCTGATACCCACTTTTAAGACTCTGCCCGACCTGCCACCAGACATAACAGAACTTACATCATGCAAATGCAAAAAACATACTAAACAATATTCTAACAATAATATTCTGTTCTAGACTGTGGAAGCAAAATTTGCAAATGCAGGAAAAAAAATATTTACTGTATCGGTTCCTGCACCTGTATGACACAGAAAAACTACATAAATAGTTTGACCACAGCCGCTAATGTTTTGGAAAATGTTGATTCGTGTGGTGAATCTGATTCTGATTAGTTTGAAAGTCTTGTAATTATAAATTTTAATATTATTAATTTATGCTTTATATACTTCCTTCCTATTATTATAATTTATTTATATTGGGGATTTATTGTATTTTGCAAAGCAATAGCCTTACTGTTTATAATTGATACTTCAATAAATACCTTTAATAAATAGTTTATATTTTCTTATTTTCATTTTACATTAAAAATAAAAAAGAAATCTTGAAGTAATTATTAGTACACCCTATTAAACATGGTGGATAAATCAATAATCCCTGTATAAAATAATATAAGAGGGGTCAAACTGATTGCATACATTTCAATACTAAGATAGATGCATAAAGAGTCGATAGGCTCTGCCTTTAATGTTTGCTTTCTAGTAAAACCATGACATCACTAATGGTTTATTGCTATATTTTTGTTAATTTAAAAGCAACAAATATGAGGAAAGTACTTTTACCTTGACAATACATAGGCGAAACTTTTATAAAGAATAGTTTTTTTTCATTTAGGCCTTCGTTTTTCGTCAAATGAGAGGTATATTTCTAAAAGAAGATTTTTTATACAAATTTGTAGACGGTTGAAACTAAGACATTTAAATTTTTTTTCGATCATAAGGGCTAATGTAAATGATTTTTTTCAAATAATTATAAAAAAATACTTCCTACAAAGACTTAATTGAGCATTAGAACAAAAAATAGGCATTTTTAACCAAATTAGATGTAATTTCATTAAATTAGATGTAATAATTTTCAACAAATTCCAAAACCTAGTGATGTTAGAATGGAAGTGGCAACAGGGCTTACACCGGCAAGAAAAGTTACGTTAAGTAGTAAAAGCTCGGGCAGTTATTCATTGATAAAACTATGTAAAATTCTTCATTGTATCCCTTCTTTTACTTCTCACCTTTCGTCGCCTCGCCCCGCGTCTAGAAATAGAATGTTTTGAGTGCGAACTGTTCTTGGCATCATGAATATTATATTTTATGAATGACTTCTTATATCTCTGTTATCTCTGGCAAATACTGTTACCAAAACAATTGCAGTTAAATTACATTTCCTATTTAGAATTTTATTAAAATAATTGTTATATTATTACATTATTTTTTACTAAATTTGAATATTGTGATATTAGCAAACTAGCCAAATAAAGAAAATAAAAATAAAATAAAAATCGAAAACATATCTGGATCTACAATAATATATATATAAATAATAAGTACATTTTATCTTTTAAATTATGAAAGTCCATTAAATTGAAATGACACGTCAAACCATAAAGTCAATCTTTCAAAACAAACATACTTGTGTTGTGTTCCAAACAAAAAATACCATTTATAGAATAATTTCCTATAATAAACCTTTCCCCGCACAACACCTCGCCCCTCGCCAAGGAACATTGTCAAATTGGGCTAATCCATTATACATTCGTCTGCATAAGGAGCGATGTTGCAATTTTTCACTTTTCACTTTTAAAACGTATGAGAACTTTAGTTGAAATGGCTTAACTGTAAATCGATGGATTCAAATATAACCTTTTATATGTACCTAAAGTTTTGAAGTTCCAATTAGAAAGGACGAAGGAGGGTAATAAATGGCTATTTTCTAAACATAAAAGTCACAACGTCCTGCAATATATTAGCTGTTGGTTGAAATTAAGCCCACATAATTTAGTAGATACCGCAATATTTAAGTCGCATTTTACACAACATACCTTTACATATGCTGCTAATAAATTGGGAATTAATATTGACACATATAAACATACACCAGATAAAAAAAAACAGTAGGTGACATTTAGTTAAGAATTTCTATAAAATACTTTTTATAAATGTTATAAATCACGATCAACATAATTTTGCCTTTGCAATTTTCATTTCGTAATGTTCGTTGTATGTATCTATTTTGTTATGTTACATCGTACTTAAATTCGTAAAAATTAAGTCTATTATTTTAATAAAATAATGCTAGTAGAGTACCTACTTACCATATACCCAAACAGTTCGAATAATGATTCAATCGTTGGGTTTAGAATAAAAATATTCTCCGTCATTCTGTTTAATTTTTTCTTTAAACAACTACCTATAATCATTGACAACAAGGCGTGGAATATAATTGTTAGATCAAACGAACTTACCTGAAGTGAAGTTCGATCTCAATTATATGAAACGCCTTAATCGAGATGATCGAACCCACCCACACACCTATACCCAAGATCATCTCTACAAAATTCAAACACAATTACCGCTTTAAAAGAATTACACAAGAGTGTACAGTCTGTTTGCTATACTTACGCGGGTTTCGGATTAACAAAATTATGCAAATTAGTAATTGACAACCAGTTTCAATAAGGCACTTCCAAGAAATTAGGTAAAATTGCCCTAATGGTCGGATTTAAATAACATTAGGGTAGGTACTAAATTTGTTACAAATATTGCAGTTGAATTGATTCTTTGCAAGTGTTGACATTGTATGTATATTGTAAATTTAGTGGAAATTTTAAAAATGCCTAAACGTGTGTTAGATGTAGATAGTCTAATTTGTAATGCACATAAGTATTTTACGGATGAAAAAGAATATGGTGGTCCTTTAAAATCGGTAATGTCTGTACAACAACGCGTATACGATGCTCTAGGAATTAGTGAAACCAAATTAAGAGGAGTATTACAAAATCACAATAGTGAACTGCCGAAAGAAAATCAACGCAAAACTCGCCGAAATTCGTGATACCATTTATCGAATGAGGGCCAACAAGGAACATGTTTCCTTAAATACAATTCTCTCGGAATTAAAAGAGAAAATTTGACGACATTGGCAGAACAAGTCTATGGCAAGTGATACATAACTTGGGTTTCAAATTTCAAAAAGAGGGTAACAGAAAGGCCCTTTGTGAAAGAAGTTCTGTCGTGCACAAGAGAATTAACTTTTTAAGAAAATATTCTAAATTTAAAGAAGAAGGGGCGAATTTTATATATTTAGACGAAACATGGATATTTTCTAGGGGTGCAACCAAGAGAATATGGCAAGTTGATAACGTAAAGTCCATCAAACATACCGATGGAGAAGGTAAGCGACACATAATTTTACATGCAGGACGGAAATTGGGTTTTATAGAAGGTGCTGATTTAATATTGTCATCTAAATCAAAATCCAGTGACTATCACGATAATATGAACAGAAATGTTTGTGAAATGGTTGAATGAAAAACTTCTCCCAGGTTTAAGTAAGCCCAGCGTAATTATTTTAGACAATGCACCTTATTATTCTGAAGTATTAAACAAAAGTCCAACGAATTCTTGGACTGTTGATAAAATTAAAGAATGGTTGACAAAGGAACATATACCATTTCCTCAATATATATTAAATTCAGAATTATTACGCTTGGCAAATATACACGCAAAACCAAAAACCTTTGTTGTGGATCAGATTATTGAAAGTTACGGTCATTAAGTTTTACGTCTGCCATCGTATCATTGCCAGTTTAATCCCATTGAATATATATGGGGAATAGCAAAACAATATTATGACAACCATATTGGGCCTAATGGTTGTAGTGACAACGCAGTTCGGGAAACTTGGCGAAAAGCACTTTCAATTGCAACTCCAGAAGTGTGGCGGAACTGTATATCCAAGTGCGAGAAACTAATAGAAGATTGGTGGACTCGTGAAAATAAAATAAACGAAATAAGTCCAATCATAATAACAATTAATATCTGACTACCACGGGACGAGATCAGAGGTGGGAAGGAACTGGGACAACCAGTTATTTTGGAGCTTTCTAAATACTTTTGAGTGTATTTAGACCAAAATACGTGGCCACAGAGCGGGAAAAATTGGGGTACTACCTATGATTATCTTGAACAAGGCGTTTCATATAATCGAGATCGAATTTCACTTCAGGTAAGTTCGTTTGATCTATCAACTATCAACGACATCAAAACTATTGCTTGTTCTTTGTGTTTATTACAAAGGCATATAAAGGCATATTAAAAGTGCCAGTTTGTGTAAAATACCCAAAATGTGGTATTGTTCTGATTGCAAAGCTATTAATAAAAAAATGAGAGATACTTGTTTTATTAATGTTACATCTTAGACATTATAGTTACGTATTGGCAACGGTTATTTACAAATTCGATCTAAATAAACTGCCATATAAAGTGACATCATTTGATATTCTCAAAAAAAAAGGGATTTACCTAATTCCCAGTACCTATTGCGTCATACGGGTGACGCATCAAAACTACCGGTAAAAATAAATTACCGGTACCGGTATTCTAGACACAGCGTATTAAACAAAATGAACTTATCACACCTGCCTCAAGTGTTTTTCCAAATCCCCTCTAATATTGATAGGTTAAAGAATATAAATGATAAATCATTATTATTTTCAATTCAGTCAGTTTATCTTTAATAATAATAATAGTGATATAATTAATTATCTTTTAATATGACTAGCATCATTTTAATTGCACTCTTAGTAAACTGTGTGAATAATGTTTTAAGTGATTGTGTAAAATCCTCTACTACTGTTAGTGGAACTCATGCTCCAACAGGAACAATTTGTACTGGCGATTTGATATTTGAAGATACTTTTGATAAATTGGATTTGAAGAAATGGCAACATGAGCAAACTCTAGGAGGAGGTGGAGTAGGTACCTGTAATTGACATATAAATCATAGTAATTTTTATTATCATGTTAAGGGCGGGTTGTACAAGAGGCAGTAAAAATCATATTTAATATACTACGAGATAATAGTTCAAATCAAAATCTGGAAAGTTTTCATTTCGACATTTAGAATTTTTAATTAGGGATTTGGGGTGAGACAAGGTTATCTTACTTTTACAAATGTTGACGTAATTGCTAAATACTTATGGGATCTTTAAAAAGTGTTTATCCCATCATAATTAAATTATTTATCGTTAGAAATGTATAAGCTATATTTAGAAGAACAAAATAATAATAATAATAAATACGTTTATTACTCAATACATACAAAATAATTACAATTTTAATAATATTACAAAGTTCACCAAGGTCACGAGGACCGTACTGTCTGTTCTTCCGCTAAAGCCAAAAGATAAAAATAAATAAATAAAGAAGTAACATGTACCTAAAAGCAAATGTACTATAGAGCTTATTAATTTATAAGTCTTTAATAGGTAAAAAATGCTACAAGAGCAAAAACATCGAGCAGAAAACGAAATAAAATTAATAATACAAAATATCTGAACGTATTATAGAGATCGTTATACATTTAATAAAAAAAAAACAATTTATTATTAACCTTCACAATATTAGTGTAGTACTTATACAGTGTGTCCGTAAACATGGGCGTCGTTACACAATTCTATAAGGGGGGGCAAAATTTTTAAAAAAAATTAGAATGTTTATTTGTTGAAAAACAAAGAAAATGAAAAATAAAAAAAGAATACAAATTAACAACAGTTTCTAATAAATAAAATAACCCAACAAAAAAGACAAAAACTAAAATAGAAAAAACAAGAAACTTAAAACACAAATTTTTAAAAAATAAACAGAATGTGTGAAATAAAAGAAAAATATTAACAAGAAGACAGAGCCATACATAATATTTAAAAATAAAATATTTATAGAAACACAAAAACAAAAAAAACTCACTCAAAGACGTTGACAATACTAGCAAAACGTACATTTTTAATTTCTTCTTCCTCTACCTAAAGTAATTGATAACAGAAAACATGAATTCTTTTTAATTTTTTGCGATTATTTTTCGATGTACGCTCATCATGCAAAGCGCAGTCAGCCTATTTTTATTATTTATTTGCTCTGTGCGTGACAGTAGCGCCAACTAATTCATGAACTAAAGGACGATATTTGCGTATACTGACAATACAATTTTTAATGAAATCTCTAATTAAAAAATATATATGTTTATTTTAGTAAAAGTATATGGATTTGTAAAACAAGTGACAAAATTATTATTATTATTATTATATATTTTTATTACTTCAGCTAAAAATAAATGTATGATATGTTGCCTAAGCCTAATAAGTTGTCATTGAAGAATAGGTTGAATAATGTAAAAATAAAAACATTACCATTATATAATAACGTAATATCAAAACGTATTAACAAAAATAATTGGTAAATTTGCGATTTTAATTTATATTTTTTTCATTTTTAATTCGAAAGAACCCATAGAAATTAATCAATAAAATTGGTTTCCTATCAATAAGTCACAAGATTGCATTTCAGCCACATACAATAATCAAAGGCAGAAATCTAATCTTTGCTGAACATTTAAAAGTTAGGGGATGTTGAACAACATTGTAAAATAATAATTTATTGTTTATTTAAACCTTTCAATTTTTTGATGTCTACTGTTTCCAGTATTACTGTTATTATTACAAAAATAAAAGTTTTCTTCTTTTTATTGTACAGCTATCCATTTATTTCTTTGATTTAATTTCCATTTTGCTACTGAAAATTTATATAATTTACACTGTTTTTTCTACTAGTATTTTTACAATGTACAACACAACAACTGCTACTGCTTTTTGTTTTGTTTTTATCTGTTAGAGAAAATAATGTTGAAATAGTTTGGTGAAAGGTTTTTATTAACGAATAACTATTTGAACAAACAATACTAGAATTAAAATAGCAACTCAGGTGCGCACATTCGTTGGTTAATTTACATTGACATCTTTATAAAACAAAAGTAATTTAAGCAGGGTTGCCAACTATAATAGATACGGGTATTTTAACATTACCTACTTTTAAAAAAAAGTAAAATGTATAGGTACGTGTAAGATATGGAATAAATATATTCAACCTATAATATTCGTCAACTGTATTAGCCTGAATATTATTTTTATAGGATTGCTATCCGTAATTCGTGGCATTTAGATTTCTACACCTATCATGTTTACCTATTTCTTCTATTCCCTTAAACAATATGAGCCAGTGCCAGTTGTGTAATTGTGTTAGTTACGTAATTTTACTGTATACAGGCGTTGTCAAAAATTAGTTTGGCCAATTGGCAATGCCAAGGCCATAAATTTAAAAAAAAAACGTTGTCAAACTGTGGCACGTAGTACCTACCTAACGAAATATCAGTAATTTATATACTAAGGCTGTATGTTACGATACTAAATTAAGTACTAGATTTAGAACTAAATTAATACATTTTTTAAACACTAAAAAAATTTACATTGCAAACAGCAAATTTAGTATTAAATTTAGTACTAAAAAAATTAATTAATTAATTGGAACTTCCTCTATTTTCTACCAAATTTAGTATTAAAAATGCGTTGAAGTTTTTCTCAGAAAAAGTTGACACAACGGTCTTTTCTGCACCATTTTGATTTTGGTTAACGACAACTTTGCATTATAACCTTGGACAAATTTCGCTTGTGTTTGATTTTGTAAATTTTATTTTTTTTCGTGGTTTTTAGTAGCATTGCTGCATTTGGTTGTTGTCAAGTCAACAAGTGTCAAAGTCATAGTAAAAACATCTTTTAATTCACTTTTCTCAGTTACACAGAATGTTTCATTTCTGTGCTAATTTCACGTAATATTATGTCAATGCGCGTGCGCCTATACTTAATTTAGTACTAAAAATTGGTATCGTTACAAAAGGAAAAAAAATATTTTTAGTTCTAAATTAACAACTTACTTTAGGGCTAAATTTTAGTACCTAATTTAGTAATGTGTCATACAGCCATTACGCGCTGTAAAGTCGTAAAAGCCAGGGGGGGCAACTGCCCCCCCTTGCCCCCCCCCCAAACGACGCCCATGTCCGTAAAGTATGGAACAAATCCTTTTTTAGCTAAACAGACCATTTTAAGAAATAATCCTGAAACACGTCGATTTTGATTTTAATTTAAAGTATTTTAAAATAATAATCTAATATACAGGGTGAATTACTTTCGAGTAATGACGTCACCGTCATTTTTTTTAAATGGAACACCCCCATTTTGTCTCAATTTTCGGATTACTCTAGCTGAGCTGATCCCAAAAATGTATCACATGTTGATTCCAATTGGTACAGGGTGGACTTGTGGTCTAGCAGACAGAATATGAAAGAAATTATTTCTTATCAATTTTGAAAAAACATAGTCGTCTAGTTTTTTGTGAAATGTCATTACTTGTTTAGTATTTTATTGATGTTCAGTTACAGTTTAGTACTACAATATTTTTGGTATTCGTGAATCTTTTAATTATTGCTTAGATTTAATTTGAATTAAGTGTAAAACAAAAAATTGAAATACTTATGATGATTGGGTATGGAGACAGATCGCGAACTCAGATGGAAGTGTGCAATTTGTTTTATGATAAATATCCAGAAAGACCTATAACGCGTTCCACAGTCAGTAAGATTGAAAAGAAATTTCGAGAAACTAGTACGGTTGAAAATGCACGCAAATCAGGTCGTCCCTCTGCAAATGCTGATACAGCATTAAATGTTTTACTTAGTTTTAAAGAAGACGCGCACACTTCTGTGCGTAAAGTTAGTTGCGATATCGGTGTTAGCAAAACAACGGTACACAAACTATTAAAACTTGAAAAATGGCATCCTTATAAAATCAAACTTGTGCAGGAATTAAACGAAGATGAACCTGATAGAAGAATCCAATTTTGCAAAAAAATTATGGATAAATGTCACCGAGATCCTCTCTTGATACAAAACATTATTTTTTCTGATGAGGCCACTTTCACGTTAAATGGCGAGGTTAACCGTCAGAATTGTAGATACTGCGCAAAAAACCCCCCACTGGATGTGTGAGAATCAACACAATACCCGCAAAAGGTAAATGTATGGGCTGGAATTGTAAGAAATCGAATCATCGGACCCTACTTTATCGAAGGTAATTTAAACGGGGTCAACGTACCTTGAGTTTTTAAGGGGGTATCTCGTACCTACTTTACGTAATTTGTTTCCCAGCAGACGTAATCCTGGAGGTTGTGATGAAAGTTTATGGTTTCAACAGGATGGTGCACCTCCACATTATGCTGTAGATGTTAGAAGGTACCTAGATGAAATTTTTCCGAACAGGTGGATTGGTAGACGTGGACCTATCGAATGGCCAGCGAGGTCAGTAGATTTCAATCCTTTGGATTATTTTATGTGGGATCATCTGAAGAATGTTGTGTATCAAACGAAACCAGCAAATATTTAAGAATTAAAAGAGAGAATTTGGACAACAATAAAAAATAATTCTCAAGATACAATAAACAAGGTTCAACAAGAATTTGTACACCGTTTGGGTTACTGTCAAATACAGCCAGGGCTGCAGTTCGAACATTTATAAAGTCATGTATTTCATCATATTCTGTCCGCTAGACAATAAGTATTTTTGATAATATTGTTAATTTAACTAATAATGTTACGCATTACTTTATGAGCACACACAAAACTATTGTATTTTTGCCCACCCTGTACCAATTGGAATCCGAAAATGAGACAAAATGGGGGTGTTCCATTTAAAAAATTCACCCTGTATATGAGATTATTATTTAAAAATACGGTAAATTAAAATCAAAAATCGACGTGTTTCAGGATTATTTCTTAAAATGGTCTGTTTAGCTAAAAATGAATTTGTTCCATACTTTACGGACACACTGTATATCTGTACCACAGAGGTAAAGAATCGTATATCAAATTTTA